AATATATATGTATTATTACAATATATTAAGAATCGAAATAAACTTTTATTTGTAATATAATATTATTACAATTATATATATATATATATTATTATAATAATATATATGTGTATTATTACAATATATTAAGAATCGAAATGAAGTTTTATTTAGCTTCTGCTTCCTGCAATTAATATGCAGTTAATAAGAAACTTTTAGTTACGAAACTTTACACACGTCTTATCAAATTAAAATTACATATTATAGCGAAGCGTATAATGCATTGTTTATAATCCAATATATTGTCTTATTTAGTACATACGACAAATAAAGAAAAATAAAAAAATATATATCTAATAACCATTGTTTCAAATATGCCACGATCTCGCGACTGTCTTTGTCGAATCATCGCGACTTCCGGTCACATACGTTCAGAATAGCCATAATTTCACTTAGATTCAATGCGATAGAAATGTTTCGAGAGCTTAGTTTAGAAGCCGGCCGTATTTTATTCAAGGCAGGGAGGCAAGGAAATTAAAGCCCGAGTGTTTTATTTTTTTTTCTCCGAGCAATGAATTCGATTGGACAGTTCTTGGCTATCAGTGTCGTAATTAGCGGACTGTATCTTACACTTAATTCAGTCCTTTCGATCGGTAATCTTACGATCAAATGCTAAACACAATGAAAGTTCATTTTCCGTATAAATTGTTTTAATAGCTTGAACGTAAAAGCGACGATAATGACAGAATTACGCGGAATGTTTTGTTTTATATTTCTCTGTTTGATGATCCTGATGGGCTGTGAACGCCGTTATCCGGCAATTAAGAAAGGAGACGTTACATTGTTTTCAGAATTGATGTGCCCGTGTTGGTTCGTTCGGCGAATAACGGGCAAACCAGTTCCCCATCTTTCGTTCGTGAAAGTTTCTTTGCAACGTGATTGTCTACTTTATTTTAATGGATCGTTCTAAAAAGCGTTGCTCGACCATTCCCGTTTCTTAACAGCTGCTGACAAGCGTTCATTATTATCTCGTTCACTACTCTCGTACGCTTTCAATTATCGAATTTGTATCAAGTAGTACCGATGCAATTATTCTTTACAATAATTTCAATAATTCTACATCAAAGCTGTTAATTTTTTCTCTTTTTTCAGTGACCGCTTGAAGTTTCATAAATTTGTGTATAGGAGAGAAGTTTTTTGAATCATTTCCTTTTAATTAAGGCGAACGAAATTGCTGGCGCTGTTAGAATTAGGTGAAAATAAGAAACTGTATATATGTATATGCATATGTG